GTGGAGGAAGCTGCACACCTCATGTCTGGGAAGTGAAAGAGAAAAAGCAGGGGCACTATCCCCAGGCCCTTAAGACATGTTCTGCTGACCTAAAGACCTCCTGCTAGGCCCTGGTTATCAAAGGTTCCACCACTATGAGGTTGATCACAGCTTGGAGACCAATTTTCTAACACATGGGTCTCTGGGGGACATTTCAGATCTCAGCTATAGCAATCTTTATGTTATTAACTATGATCTCTAGTATGTAAAATTATTAGATGTTAATTAAAAGAAATAAAGTAAAAAGCCTGTCATATTGAGAGGACAAAAGCAGAGTTGGAGAGCAAGCAGCCTGTAGTGCTGGGAGCAGGAGAAGCAGAGGCCTAGCTTGGCCTCCCCTTCTCAAGAAGGCTGTACCCTCCAGCCTCGGAATTCCAGCCACTGCCCTCTACTGTGAGGGTAGCTGTGAGAAGCATATGAAGTGTAAGTTGTAGAGGGATGGACATACTGATGCATGATGTCCTCCCCGCCCACAGGCCTGGTTTGTTCAAGGCTGGGAAATGACAGGGGGTCTAGGCAGCAACTCCCGCCCACCTGTAGCAGGATGGAGCTGGGTTGTCAAACAGACAGGAGGCAGCTCGAAAGCTCCATCTTCCCCACGCTCAGTGCCTCCCAGAGCTTTCGAGGGCAAGACCTCTTCCTTTTATCTGAAGCTCTCTGCACCAACACAGGAAGAAAAGCCAAAGCTTTGGTATGTTTTAGAGCAGAGGTGCTGAACCTATGGTACTCATGCTGTAGCCGGGTATTATCACCGGAAGCTCTAAAAGGTTCGCCATCATTGTTTTAGAGGCTTGCAATAAACTAATGCTCTTAATAATTCATACATAGCAAAATATAATTATGCAATTCAAAAGCCAAAGACTTTATCTACAAATATCAATTTATACTGCAACATAGAGTAGCGAAATGGCTCAGCAACTGCCCCAGTGCACAGTTACTGAACAGTGTTAATGAGTATCATTCCCTTCCCATCCTGTGCACTGGCTCTTGAATCAAATGTATGAGCCCCCTTAGAGATAAGAGAAGTTTGACTTTGAGACCTTCTGCTAATGGGAGTCCTGATTAGCTTCCTACCCTCCTTCCTGCTCTACTACATGCTCCCACCCCATCCTTTGATCCAAAAACTTCCGTAGTGATCTTCATCGCAGGCAGATTTCTCCATCTTCTCTGTGGTTCCAATCACTGGATCCATCGAAGACAACTCCAGAGTCCACAAGCAGCGCCCCCTTGAGCCGCATACAGGAAGAGAAGGGCCGACCGCGCCTCAGTGTGTACCACACAGATTCAACAGACCAATGGAGCTGCCTGCTCAGCACAGCGGCAGAGGCTGTGTTCCATTCTAGAGCTCTCTTCTTTTTTGCTTCCTGCACTTTTCCTCCACCCCTCCTTATGATTTTGGCTTCTTGGGGCCCTGTGTAAACACCACTGTTGTTCCAAACTACTAAAACCAATTGACACTCAGTGCAGTGAGGACCCTGCAAGGAACTAACTGTATGCTTGGTGGTGGAATTCATTGAAGCAAAAGATTAAATAGTTCTACTGCTTGCCTACAAATTACTACTGCTTTGCAAGTGATTAGAAAGGAAAGGAACATCAGGTTTCCTACAATGTCCCCAGAAGACAATAGCCATGTATGTTAACCTGGACACCTGCTTGCAACCAAGACAATACCTAGGTGGCAGAAAGAAATATTAACTAGTTCATTCATTCAGCCATTCATTCCACTAACATCCACCGCATACTCTCCCATGCCAAGTATTTAGAGAGGTGTTGGAGTCGCAGCAGGAATGTGATGCTATCTTTTCCTTCATCAACATCATGGGATAAAGCAGGTGGCCAAATGAGGGACAAGGAGAGCCCAGGGAAGGCTATCTGAGCGCAGCTGCGGAGGTAGCCGGCTGAGTATAATCTGGTCAGCTCCCTTCTCTCCCTTTCTGTCTTCCCCATGCCTTCACCCGCTGCTCTTCCCTTAGATTCAGCCCTTCATCCATCCCTGCCCCACTTTTTCTCCAACCTCTCCGTCCTCTTCTCTCCTAACCCTGAGCTCTGGGCAAATGAAAAAACCACATTTCACACACATTTTATGCCTGAGGCTTCCTCACTCCTAGAAAGCTGTCATTCTTAATGCAAATGCCTGCTTAAAGCATATTTTGTGATTTCTTTCTTTCCAGTGCAACCTGCAGCAGCAGGGGGACTCATCAGTAAATGTCATAAATGCTGGATTTTATTAAGACAAAAACAACATGCTGCAGCAAAGATCTGCAAGCTCCTGACAAGGACGCACACTGCATTCAGAGGCTGAATGAAGCCCCTAAGAAGGAGGCACCTCCAGAACCCTAGAGTGCCAGCTCAGCTCCTGGTGTCGAGGTGGCTTCTATCTGTGTCAGGTAGTGCGTCACAACATCAGCCTCCTCCACCCCCATGCGCCCCTCGGCAGGCATCTTCCCACACAGCACCATCAACTGTAAAAACTGCAGCCACTGGCGAAGTCACAACACAATCATCTCCATGAACGGGGGTGCGGTTCTGCTCAGTCAGCCCCAGTTAAGTCAGTTACCCACAGGACAGATACCTTTCCTTCTAGTAAATCCAGAATACTCTTGGCTCTGCTATCTATACAGTTCTGTGAATTGCCAGATCGCTGTAATAAAATGTTCATTTGCATGTGGGAAGTTCTTTCTTGGTGCTGATAAAAGAAAAGGAGGATGGTTCCACAGCCTCCCTGCTGTCTGTGTAATCAACTGTAAAGTCCTCAGCTGCTTCACCATAATATACCTTGCCTTGAAAAATTACTTCATGGGTGAAAATGCATTTTAGTAAGATTTCACCTTATATGAACCTTTAAGCTAGTCCCCAACCCTCTGCTTCAGCAGTCTCTACATGAACTTTCTCCGATTCTCCTTTGGGGCCAGGGGTATAGCTCAGTGGCACAGCACTTGCTTAGCATGCACAAGGCCCTGAGCTGGATCCCAAGTAACACACACACACACACACACACACACACACACAGGGAGAGAAGAAATGAAATAAACATATAAAATGTCCCTTTCTGCACTGTCCTGCCTCCTTCACCTTTCCCTCCAGAGCTTTCTACCTTTGTGGTTTTATATTTGCCTATAAACATTAACTCTATTCTCTGATATGGCTACCAAGGCCATCCCAATAGCTTAGAGAATTCACAATCATTATGAAATACAAATGAAGCATCACTATATCCCATAGCATTTTCCCACATATTCAGAGAATCAGCCCTAAGAGTTCAGGCCATTGCTATCACTTTGGATTAGCCTTTCTTTATTGTTGTATCACTCATAGACTCAGGATACTGCATGAAATAATAAGAATCTGTATGGAAGATTTCTGCCTGCTTACTGACGCAGTATGCTGTGACCAGCTAGTAAGGTAAAGCAACACAATTCAGGGTGAAGGGAATACAAAACCATCCATCGAGCACTTAAAGATGGAAATAAAGTGTACCAGCAATACAAAGATTAAGACCAAGAGAAGTAAAAACACATTAAAATTTCTACTTTTCTATGTGTGCATTACATAGTCACAATTCAGAATTATATCATGGAGAGTTTCACAGACCAGAGAGGAATCAAAGGAGAGAAAAAGAGAGAGCTTTGTTTGGACTATTGCTCAAAAAATTACCTACAGTATCGGGAGCATCAAAGAGGAAGCTCGAGAGCAAGAAGTGGGATAAGAACACTGAGTGAGCAGTTCTGGAGAGGACTGCCTTGGCTCCAAAGGCAGGCGCAGGAATGGAAACAGAGCACTGCTTCCCAACGAGAAGTTTGCACAGCTGCCAAGAAAAGTGGGTGAGCACCCACCACACATAACCAGGCTTCTCTTGCCTGACTCACGGACGGGCCCTGGTGGTTCAGACCCTAGCAGGGGGACCCAATGGGATTCTTTCTGCAAGTGGCACCAACCCAAATTCTGATTCACCGTGAGTTTGGGGAAGGCCTCTTTTCAGTCTTGCTAAAGGGGACGTGCCATTGCGAGACTACTACTACACACAGGACAGCAACCGTCAACGGAGGAGGGCTTGTTGACTTTTGGAAGCACAGGAGAGCCTAAAGTGTTGCTCAATTCTGTTAAGTTCAGAGAACATCTATTCCCTGGGGCCTCATCTCCAGGGAAAGCCCGAGGCTGGTCTCACCTGCCTCTTGGTAAGAGAAGTGGGACCCAGAGACAGACTGTTCCCCACACTGCTGTCAACCATGGGCCCTATGTGCCTTTCTCAGAATGAGACAATTTCAGGGGAAAAAGTTTCCCCTCAACCAAGGCCGGTGCCTCTGACCCGGAGCCTGCCCTTTGCTGGCCTGCACACAGACCCCACACCAACTTCCCCAGGTCGTGAGGGCCTTCTGATGTGCTGCGTCCAGCTCCACCTGGACTCCTCGAATTCCACCCCAGGCTGCGGCTCTGGGGGCTGTGAGTCTCCACTGCTTCGCCTGGCATTGTCCCTCTCCTTTCACGGGGACGTCTGTAACTCAACGGGGCCTCCAGGGCAAGGCAGTTCTACAAATGCCCTGACCGGGGACAAGAAGGCCCAGACCAGAAGGTCAGGGAAAAGCACCACGTTAGGGTCCGGGTCACGGTGGGCACAACGTGTCCGGGCGCCCTCCCCAGGGCAGCCGGGGCACTCGCCCGGCACCAAGCAGTTTCAGTTTCTGGCCAGGCCTAGGGGGCCACGCGGGAGAGTCGGGCCTGGCTCCCGGAGAGGTCCCCTCCCGCTGCCCGGGCTGCTTTGGGCGCCTTCACACGAGACGCTGCCCGGGGCGCGGGGCGGGGAGGGCTCCTGGGCAGGGCGGGCAGGACTGGCAGGGCGGACAGGGCAGGGAGGCGGTGCCCGGGTGGGCAGGGAGGCGGTGCCCGGGTGAGCAGCGAGCCGCTTCTAGTCGGTGGCGCTGTCCGCGGTGCTGAAACGCCCTCCCGCCGCCCGTGCCCCTCACCTTCTTCTTGCGGTCGCGGGAGCGGTTTCTGCGCTTCCTGTTGGACTCCTCCTTCTCCTTCTGCTCCTGCAGGGCCTGCGCCTCGATGTCTTTGATTTTCTTCAGTTGCTTGGCCGCCTGAGCCATGGCAGCCCGCGCCCCGCCTCCGGCCTCGCCGCCGGCGACCCCTGCCGAGGAGGAGCGGCGTCCGCCGCAGCCGCTGCCTCCGGCCGGCCGCTCGGCTGTGCTCGGCTGCGCTCGGCTTCGCCCGGCCTGGGCGCGGGGCCCGGATGCGCTCGCCGTGGCCGGCGCTGTTCCGCGCTGGGACGCTCTCCGGCT